TTCCTGTAGGGGAAAGAGTTAGGCGAATTAAATTGCTTTGGGCAATTTCGTTTAAAGCAAGAAGGTTTTAGTTTGGCAAAAGGCTTCCAGGGGCGTTGGAAAGGATTTTGATTGTCTAAAAATATGACAGGCTTAATGGGCAAGAAAAACTGCATCAGATGAGTTACTGCATAATGGATTTGGTAGTGGATCGATTTGCGGTCTTATCGTCCCCCGTCCTTTCTAGAATTCAAAATCGTTATACACCATTCGATGCAGTTTTTCACGCTGATTCCGAATATAGTATTATATTTGAGAAAATGTTAGATTGTAAGGAAGAAAAACGTGAAATACTCGAAAGCTATTAGGGGTTTTGGGAAATCCATAAAAAATGCTAGACGCAAATTCGCGAAAATTCGCTTGCACCATAGACGGAGTATGGTCTAAGGATCATTTTGATGTGTTTAAATGCTACTTTCGAGTGGGGCGTACGGGGGCGACTCGACTTTACTAGAGACCTGTCCTTGCGAAGTGACATGTACGAAAATGTGTTGCCGTTATTTATTAGATTCAGTTCTGAAATAGACCTTTTTTGATATGGATAGATAGCTGAAAACGTGCTGATTCTGAATATGTCATTTAAAATCGCGTAGCATAGCCCAGTTATTGAGAAATCGTGTTTTTATGTATACTAGCGACATTCGTTACGTTTTTTTCCAACTCTATTTTGTCCTTGAAGGATTGACTTTCAAAATAGACATTTAGACACCATTCGATAGAGAATTTCAAGGGCTACATTTTGCACTATTTATTTGTGCAAAAAGAGTTAAGTCGATTTTTCACCTAATTTCCGCCTGGATAGCCACTGTGAGGCCGAAAAACAATTTTATGGACATGCAGCCATTCTTGGATATCGCCTTTTCGCCATGCTCGTTTCGGCGCAACGGTCTCAGGTGTTGGACAGCTGTGCCATGGTGCATTCTCTAACACCATGGCTATTCTAACATCAGAGCCTATGGAATCAAAAAAAGTCAAAAGTAAAGGAGGCTTACAGAATTGGCTCGAGCGTCGCACCAAAATCGACTCGTAAGTTAGCTGCTGTCTTTTCAATCCAGTCCAAGAATCTTTCATGATTCATATTATGATTTTCAGAGCAGCTTAAAATATCCACACTCGAAGAATGGAAGCCTTCTTCACTGAGCAAAGCCGATACTGCTATTCGTTTTCCTAAGACACGAACAGAGAAAAAGGCTGTAAACAAAAACGTTGGGTTTCCTTTTCGCGGAGCACACCTTTGCCTTCCGACTGGCGAATTCTACCTTCTCCATCACAGACCCAAACACTTGGTCTAGCATCATTAAGATTATACCACGCCTACTCGTGAAAAAACACTTTTGCGTGTGAATCTCGTAGTTCTTTCATGTTTTCGAAATAGCGCGCACGAGTGGCAATAAATACGCTCGAATCAAGCGGAATTTTTACTTTATTGGTCTGTTTAAACTTGAAGCCTAACTGAAATGATATGGGAAAAACATTAGCTAACATAAAAGAGTTTTTCAAAAACGAAACTCACTTTTTGCATTTCACGCCAGAGGGTAGCACGTGAACGAATTGGAAAACCATCGAGTTTCATAAGTTCAGAGAGAAGTCTGTCAGTAGTCGGGTGTATTTTTTGCTGTAGAAGACTATGAAATATGTATCGGGTAGTGTCTTTTGCGTATTTGGACAAAATAATCTTATCACGGCCAGTGTACTCTAGACAAAAATTGGCTTTACTTGTTGTTCTTTTTTCTCTTGTTATTATTCTCACATTTGTTCAACTTCAACCAACATGTAATGAGCTAGCTCGATTTGTTGGGAAAATAAAAAAGTTTAGATTAAAATTGGCTCGAACAAAGGTGTAGAGAAAACTCATCTTTCTTTCGTGGGGAAACAGGATTGGGAACTGTTATTACTGTTGATGTGGTTGAAGCACCAGTGTGTCCACGTTGTCGCTTATGACTTCTCTTGGCAGGAGCAAGCGAGGGTGAGGACTGACAATGTTTCGAGGCCGTGTCGGATTTAGTTCTGCTGCGAAGATGACGTTCACTTTTAATCTCGTCTTTCTCATTTGCAACTTGTTTACTTTGTTGCAATGATTGTGCCTCTTGCTTCTGTCGTTCTAACTCATGTAGTTCATATCTGAGTTTCGTCACCGACGGTTCCGAGATACCTAACATGGTTATCACACGCTCATTTGAATTGCTTACCGGAATGGTGATTTCGCCACTCTTCTCTTTGTCACAAAATTTTATAACTTTAAAAATTAAAACCTTTTTCTTTTTACTGAATTCAGCACCTTTATGCATTTTAGAAATTATTAGTTTAGAAAGCCAGAGAACATTTTAGAATGAAGATAGAGTGGGAAATCAAACAGAGGTTACATACAGGGCAGAGAGAGAGAGAGAGGAACACAGGCGATATGCCAGCACCTTCTTTTCTTTATTATTTTTCTTCTTTTTGTTCATGTGTTTACATAGACAGGAGGCGACAGCCAAATACGAAAAAATATATTTTCTCGCTTGTCTTGTTAGACTACACGTGTCACGCCATACGTCAGACCGATGTCAGCAACCCACTGAGTGATAATTGTTTTTTACAAGCGTGCTGTATTTATTTATGTTCTACACGATCATTAATTCATTCTTCGCCATGAATTAATAAATTTTTTCTCATCTAATGAATATCCATTGCCCACGGAAAAATCTTTCGAATAAAACCGAGGTAAGGACAAACCGCGAATTCTTCGATCTAAATTGCGGTTTGAAAAACCGATGAAAACCACGGTTTTCAGAAGCCATTTTGATCGCAGAGAGTGTGGCGCCACAGGCAAAAACCGCGGTTTCAAATGGATGCAATGTAGTGAAAATGAACCGCGATATCTGAAACCGCGCTTTTTTACGGTTTTATATACCTCGGTAAAGTCGGTCTAAACGTCGGTCTGTGAATACCACTCAGCGTACCACGGTTTCTTAAACCACAATGTTTACGATTTAACTTCACCATGCTTTTTAATGATTTCGAGACGGAGATTTCCGTCAATAAAACTGCGGTTCGATGATGTCGCGTTCTCCACCTGACTGAACAGTGCGGTTTGTGCGGCAATACTGGAACCGTATTTTTATCTATTTTTTGTCGCTAGGAAGATATCGTATCAGGTGTGTCGCCAGTGATCCCAGATTTTCTAATTTTGACTGAAAATTTTTTAATTTTTGGTACTTTTTCTGCCTCATTTCTGCTCTTTTTCGCTTGGAAATCTATTGATTTTCTGATTTTGAACTTCTTTTTCTGAGATCTTTCTGATTTTCTTGCTTAGATCTGGTATCCCTGGTTATCTCCCACATCTGTTTCTTACTTAAAACACTTAGATCGGTAAGATATAACATCAGTTTTGATCATTGTATAAACAACCCGAGATGGCTCCATGGAAACATGTTGGACAAGCAAATCAAAGATAAGGAGTTCGAATCTCATACAATAGAAAACTAGTTTCAGTCTTTTAGTATAACCTCCCCCCCTAAAAAAATAGACGGCCATCCCCTGTAGAAGGCCATGTTCGGACAAAAGTTCAAACGTCCTTCTAATGGGTTTGTCTACATGAATGAATGAAAAAGATAGACAAAATAGTAAAAAATCGAAAGACGTCGTCTTGTTACATATTGTCCTCGACCATACATTCGTCTATATATTCATCATTCCCTTTCTTTCCGTCTCGTTTGTATATATGTTCTTTTGCTTTTCTCGTCAGCGGTTATACATATGTTATCTAGTTATCCTTCAATTCAAAAATGAAACTTATTGAAACATAGGACATTCTAAATTTCAGACGTATTAGAAGGTCACCCTAATTAGAAGGCCATGGAAAAAGTAATGATGTGCCGAGACACTGTATGAGGGCATGGCCTTTTATTCTGGAGGGGGATTTACAGTAATCAGTACTCATATAATATAGTTTCTTCTACTTGCAAACCTGCATTACTATGTGAGAGAGACTATTGTCTGCCACAGAAGTGAGCATCATCTGCCAGTTCAACAACAGAGATTTTTGGATAAGACTCGGATTGGATCCGAAAACTTGAGAGCCCTTTTGCAACTGGACAATTCGATTTTCTACAACCTACACCACAAACACCAGCACTTAAGGGTGCTTTATTTTACACTACATACTGTTTCCCCCAGGCGGTTCACTAATGTTTTGAAAGGCAAAACTAACTGTTTAATCTTATATGTCGAGTCCTTATATGGATCATGTTCGACGAGTCGTTCATGTACCACAACTTCCTTGAAGTCTTCCATGTGTATTGATAAAATGAACGTTAAGATAGCTGATCTGAAAAAATTATTTCTACGATTATACAGAACAAACTGGCATTCTTACCATAATCGCAATATATTCAAACACATATTGTCTGCATAAGTATCAAACATAGTTGACAACGTATAGTGAGCACACACTATAATTTATGAGAATAGAGATGCTTGTATAAGTAGAAAAAAAATAATTAGTATAACCTCACAACAATTTAGCTTTCCGCATTTTTTAGAATAAAATCATAACAGACATACAGAAATAAACTAATATTTCAGCAAAGAGGATGATTAACTTTTTTCATCTATTAAACAAAGTATACACAAAATTTGAAAAAGACAGTGTAAAATACTCATAAAATCCAACGAGGAAAAGTACTTTTGTTCAGCCTGTACTTAAAAAAAGCGGATCTTGACACGACTAAGACAAATTAAGAACAGAAAGCTAAAGAAGGATTCCTTATTTTTATCTTTTTACTGCTCGTGTTTTATGTTTAACGACTGATGCGTCCGTTTGTTCGCTGTACGACGCACTGTATTTGATGATGTTGTAGATTTTCGTTGTTGTTTTCTTATTGCTGCTTTGTCAGTTCGAGAAAATGCATCTGGTTCTATATAAAAGATATAAAGATGCAATAAACCCAAACAGGAAAGTATAGAAAAAGTTCACTATACGTTTGCTGAAATGTTCATTTAAATCTTTTTCTTCTAATGTTTTTATAAATTTCCCGGTGTCATTATCATAATATACATATTGTTTATACAAAATCAGAGTCAAATAACTCAACAGCAGCATCGCTAAGGACCCATTTAGTGTCTGTTCTAATAGATTGAATTCGTGCTTGTTGCTCTCGTTCGGAAATCGGCTTTCGAAAGTTGAGGGAATTGAGATATTCTTCTCACGTTACAGCCAGTTCCACTAATTTTGTTATGATTTGCATCTTTGGTTGGATTTTATTTATCATAAAATAATTTATTGGTATTGCTTCATTCGTTCGACAGTCCAAATATAATCAAGCAAATAACGAATGCAAAACGTGATGCAGAAGAAAGCCGACTAATCTACCCAGGTCGACGGTCACGTCAAAGTCGCGACGCGATCGCGATGTCACGATCGCGATCACTATAAACTCATGGCTGTCGCGTCGCGATCGCTACAAAGTCACGTTATCACGTCGTGATCTTGGTAAACTCATGTTTTTTAGAAAAAATA